GACGACTCGTCTTGCAGTGAAGGAAGTAGCGATGACTCACTCGAACTCACTCTTTGACATGACGTTCCACGTCTGCATACATCCCGGGCCAGTAGAATTCAGAGCGCAAATTTTCGTGAGTCTCTTTGATACCCTGGCGTCCATCCTGAAAATCCTCATTGGCATAATGCAAGATGTCTTCTCTCAGGGTAGTTGGTACTACCAAACGCAATTCATCCTGGGCATCTCGGGGCCTGCCTCGAGTGGACTGGGTTAACCGATACAACATGCCGCGGGAATCCAAAGCGAACAAGTCTGCAACCTTGGCGATCTTTCGCAACTGTCGAAGCGTTGGCCGATCGACCTCTCCATTCAGGAAGTCTCTCAAATCGCACAGATATTCGTCTTGTTCCGGGTGCACCTTAATCCGTCGCTAGCTCTCTCGTTTGTACTTGAGAGGATTGAGGGAACCCGTTGACACCTGTCGGTCTCGGACACTAGCCCGTGTTACGACAACCAAAATTTTGGCTGCACATGACAGTGGAGCTGCCATGACATCCAGGGTAGAGGGGCCTCCAGGACTGTCCGAACAACCTTCTTCATCCTGGGTGCCAACCAATCCTGAATGGCCGGTCTCCAGGCAAGCTTCGGCTGACTTCATCAACTTCTCTTGAATCTTGGATACTCGTTCCAGGTGTTGACGCTCTCCGTCTTCCTAGACACTCCAGGATCTTCCGAGCAGCAGTGTCTTGGAGGTCAGGTAATCCGCTGCCTGATTAAAATCCCGCTTGACGTGTACCAGTCTCACCGAATCGAACTTCGTTTTCAATGCTTCACAACTAGCCAATCGCCTTTGCAAGTTAGGCTGATTACGGTTGATCAGACCCTGCACTTGCTGGATGACGATTCGGGAGTCACCCACAGCGATCAGGTCCCTGACGCTCCTGGCCTGTGCCATGGTTAGACCATTCAAGAGTCCGCAGTACTCAGCGTCATTCACAGTGACGTCTTCCAGGATGAAGCCCTGTGCGTCCAGGATCTTCCATCCAGGAAGTTCCCACAAAATGCATCCACAGCTACCCTGCCGAGTAGATATCTTGGCGACACCATCAAAACTCAATACGATGCCTTCGAAGGTATCTTCCAGCATTTCCACGCTAATTATCGGTGGCGGTTTCGCACGCCCCTATGCAGGGATGAGCTCCTCGGCGACTTCGTCTAGGTGCTCCTGAGGTGTGATACCGGCACCCAGGATGGCGGCTAGTCCGTCTTTGTCTCATTGGATTTTCCTGATGTCCAGGTTCCATTGTGAAAGCAAAACGCCCCAAGGCACACGCCTCCCGTCTGCAGTCTTGGATTTCATGATCCACTTCAGAACTGAGTGTCTAGTATACACTATGAGGGGTCAACCCTGAATGAGTGTTCTGAACACATGTAGTACCCTCAACACGGCGATGACCTCCTTTTCTGTGGTGTGGTATCTCAACCCCGCATCGTGTAGAACACGCCCCGTAAAACGCACTGGCTGGATCAAACCGCCATGTTCTTGACCTAGGACCGCACAGGTAGCCCATTGATTTGCATGAGGGTAAAATAACGAACGGTTTTGTCCTATCCGAGTGTCTAAACACCGGGGTCGACACAATCTTGTGCTTCAGGATTTCAAACGTCTGCATTGCTCTGAATCAATCTCGCCCTGAACGCACTTGGTCATCCGAGAGTTCATACAGGGAGGCTGCAATCACAGGGTAGTCTTCGATGAATTTATGGTAATAATTCAGGCTGCCCAAGAAATATTGCACTCCCTTCATGGTAGTTGGGAACGGTAGATCCTGAACACCTTTAGCGAACTTCGGTGCTGCCCTGATTCCTTCGGCGCTAATCTCATGCGACAGATACGGAATGGACATTTTTCCGAACTCACTCTTCGGTAGACTTACTGAGATATTCCAATACCGCAGCCTGTATAGTAAGGCATCCAAATAAGCACACAATGCATTCCAAGTCGGCGCGCCATGTGCGATATCATCGATATACGAACTGCGTCCTAGGACAGATGACATCTGCGTCGGAGCGGGGATATTCCTCTTGAACACCGTCATTTGATCGGCCAAGGTCAGCAACAATCGAGAAGTATGGTCGTTCTCACAACCGGTACATCCTGGAGTGCCACACCCTGGAGGTCCTTCATCCTGGGGGTCCAGATTCAGGTAATCCAAAACTTGTTGGCCTACTTCCACCTCCTCTTCTGGTGGCAGACGCACGAATCCCCACAGGCATTGTTGATCACTTGCTGGTAAATCAGAGGTGCATTTTTAGACCAAACAGCATTCGAATCCACTGGAAATGTCCAAATGGACACAGGAAAGCTGAAATCAACTTGGCTCTTTCAGTCATCTTGATTGCCTAGAAACCACTGGCCATATCCAGGCTCATGAACCAGAGTGCTTTCTCAAAACTGACTAACAGGTCGTCGATGAGAGGTAGCGGATAACTCGACAGCTGGATGAAATTATTCACAAGTCGATAGTCAATGCACATCCTGATATCCACTCCATTCTTCTTGAGTACGATCACGATTGGTGACGCCCACTGCGATTCTGAATGTTCAATAAGATTGTTCTCGAGCAATTTCTTGAGGAGTTCGTATACCTTGACTGCCACATGCGGTCCAATCGACCTTGGACGCAACGCGATAGGTTTGGCGTCTCCTATATCGAGGTCGTACACCACTCCTCTAGTGGGGGCAGGTGCGGTATTTCCATCACCCAGGAAAACCTTTCTATGGCGTTTCAGGATCGCACGTATACTGGATTCATCTTCGGGAGAGGTCTCACCCGGGACTCCCACATCGGCCTGATCGATATCACATTCTGGGTGCAATTCATTCAATTCTGGCAGCATCACCAACTGGTCCCGCAATTGTGCCAGCATCTCGCCCCCTTCATGTTAACTCCTGGCTCCAAATCCAACTCTTCCGCGCTAACCCTCATACGGCGTTCGTACTCCAACTTCTCGAGTGGTGTGGAGGACGCTGGTTCTGGGAGGGATCCTGGAGCATCATGTTCTGGGCGTACTTCCGTGAACGTCTCGCCGCCCTGGGGTTCCTCGAAATCAATAGTCGACTTTGGCGGCACATTCGCAGAGATACCGCCTCGGTCATCATCCAGGGTGTCGCCTTCACCAGGATCACACTCGTAACTGTCTAGTTGGCTCTCACTGATCTGTGTAGCGACATTCATTCTGGTTATCAACGAGAAGTCCTCCTCCGTCTGCGTACCCGCATCCACCAACTCTCCACGATTCAACAACCTGAAGCACGGGGGATTTTGCGACCGAGCCATTCTGACTTCAGCGGATCCTGGTCGAGGCCTTAGCATCATCTTGGTTGACCATTGGTACTTCCTTTTCGGCACACACGGGGGTTCTCGTTCTCGCAGTGTCTGTTCTCTCCTTTCAGCCCTGAGTCTATCTTGGTCTGACTGGGCGTGTTCCAGGATCAGGGTCTGCCATTCACGATAAGCTCGCGTTCCAGGGCGGACGAAGCGCCCAGTCAGCGGGAACGACCCATACTGCACAATCCTGGTTAACGGTGTTCTCATATCGATCCCGACATTGTGTTTCGACACATTCACAACTTTTATCGCCACGGGCCAGGATCTGGCCTGATACACAATCTTGGTCACCCACCTGTCATCTCGTCCAGCCCAAACGACTTCTCGTTCTGGATTCGTATGTCCATATTGGATACGCACGACTGCGTGCTATCCGGGCATGAGATACAAATTTTCTGAAGGTGTGACTGGCAATCCACGCCCTGATGTACCTTGACATTTTCATCGTACATTAGGATGGACTCTTCATCTGGGAGTTGCACCAAACGTTCTCGAACACAAACTCGCACTTCTACGCGAAACGTGAAATCCATGCCTAGGAGTACATCCAATCCTTCACCAATATTGGCCACCTGACACGATGTCGGTGAAAACTTTTCGTGTAGGAGATGTATAGCGTAGCCAGAATCGGAAGGTCAACCAGGATCTAGGGACCTCCAGAATTTGGACACCCATGATGACAAGTCACCCGGATGGACGTGTGTTCTTGTGCTATCCCTGTCGGTTCGATTGATTCGGTGGAACGGTTATTTCACGGGGGAGTTGTTCAGGATACATGTATTCCAGGATTTGGGGTGCCACCGACAATTCAGGATCGGGCACTGGTCACAACTGGGGAGAGGTTATAGAACACGAGGGGGTTCTCAACCTAGACTAACCTAAATATGCAGAGTTCAATATAC